TTTCTTGCCCTGTACTCACAGCAATTCATATCAGTGCCATTAGCAGAATACACAGTTCCCTTGTCCCCTTCTCAACCTCAGTCCTTGATAGCAGAAAAATTAGCAAATTGCCAAGATGATGAACAGGGAAAGAACACAGCAGCTTCAAAAAAGCGTTCACGAGATGATCAGCTGGAGGGCTGGGGATTTCAACAGCAAAACCACAAAATGAAAGAGACACGACTGACTGATGAAAGATCTGGAGTACAATTAATGATTTCACTTGATCATTTCCTTCAAGAGAAGGACACAAAAAGATCCGCCATCAATGTCAAACCAGGAGAATTCAAGATTACAGTTGACTCTGATCAAAAATGGAATAAAGCTTTCTTTTGGGCAAACAAATATCTGAAGCAAAAAAAAGAAAAATCAACAACCATCCAAAATTTCATGCATCGATTTGAGAAAGAACAACAGAAACTAAATGATATGTTACCCTTTCAACACAAATACAAAAAAATTGAGTTAGTTGACATTTCTATTGAGCTCATTCAAACTGATTGCAATCAGGATGAAGGCATCCATCATTATATTATCCTTCCAGCAGGAATGAGGGGGTCAAAACAACGCTGGAGTCACAAATCAAAAAGTGTTGGAATTAGAATTGAGCATATTCTAACAGCATCAGAACTTTTCCACAGAATGTGCATTCTACATGAGTTAGACCCAGGGATTTTTGGCACTCAGTGGGAGAGCAGTTGCAAGAGGTTTATGAAATGGCTTGAGGAAATCTTCTTCATAATAACTAAGGATAGTCTTCCCCTGTTTGGTAGTCTAAGAGAAACATGGAAAAATGCAGAACAGTCTGGAAAAAGATTTGGTAGTGTCCATAGAGAAATATCAATAGTACTGGCCAGACTGAAAAAACCAACATATGCTGAAATATTCACGTTGGCACTTTCTCTGCTAGGATATTGGTATGAGATGGAAGTGCTGAAACTAGGTCAATCAAAGAAGAATGGTCACCCTGAGAATCTCTGGAAATTCTTGAGATCAAAAAAAGCTTGGACTGACCATCTATCAAGATTAAATTCAACTGAACAAGGCACAAGCAAGGAACAAACTTGGCAACAGGACATTATTTCAGTTCCTTTCTGCAATAAAGACCATGACTTTTTTACTTGCAAGATGAATGAGCATTTTGGAAACTTGAAATATGTTCATTACAAGGGATTGGAGTTGATCAATATACTTCCCAAACCAGATCAATCACTTGTTCCTCAAGAAACTGCTGCAAAAATTATAGAAGTACTTACACAATATGGGAACAAAAGACTTCAATATATTTCACAACCCATAAAAAAGATAAAGATGACAGATTTCCCAATATATATCATCCCAGATTTTGAATATATAGATATCAAACAGGAGGTTTTAATAACTTTAAATGAGGAGACTGATTGTAAAAGAAGAAATCGTAGGCAAATAGAATTGTTTGAGAACAGGATCTTCAAAATATTAGAATCACTTCTCAGTTTACATAAAATTGCAAGTGAGATCTTAGGAGAACAAATGAAGAATACACAAGAAAGCCTGATTAGATGGTTCCTGGATGTTTTATTTGAGAAGTCTGGACACAGCTTACCACTTTTTGGGTTTGCTGAGATGGTATTCCCACCCAGACATGATAAACTTGAAAACCTATTTGGTAGTCCCCAGAAATACTTGTCAAAAGAGTTCACTACTTCAAGACCACTACATGAAAATCATGCAAATAAAATTGCTTACTTGCTACTGGGGTTTTGGTATGAGACTGTTTTGTTGGAGAGTGACATATTTCACTCCAATGACAATTGCCCAAGATCTTATTGGGACATATTCAATCAAATTCTTGAGTCAAAGAAAGCACCAAGAAAACCTTCCTGAATTTCTCTCAAGAATCCCACAATCAAAATTTATTCCCCTTACAATACTCTGTAAACATTTGATTAGATTAGTTGTTCATATTCAACATTTAATCATAAATCTCAAAGCTTGAATGCACAAAATTGTTTTGTAATAAAGGCACTAACATAACCTGGCCAGGTTGAGAGTATCCTAGTTCATCTAGGATGAGTCAAAATGGGCTGATCTGAAATGATGGAATAGGAATCCAAGGTTCCTTGTAAGTTGTAATCATAAGCCAGCAGAATTTGATGAGTTAGTTCATGCTTTGTAAAGTATGAAAGCAGGCACCAAAGTTGGTGCTCAAAAGCATTTAAACAACGACATCACCTGTGACCTGGGTAGGGACTTCATTTAGGTGTTGCCTACCAGATCCCTACCCAATCTTGATTTGAAGCATAAAACGATGTTTTAAGGATTGTTTGATGCATATAATTGTATCTTCAGATGTTTACATAAGCAGGCCGCGTGCGTGGTGCGCTTGAAGTCGCGTTGAGCTCCAACTCGGCTTTCTCCATGAAGCCCCCCTTCAGGAAAATAAGGGCTAGCCGAAAAACCGCCATCACGCTTCAAACGGATTTATCGCGTTCAAAGATTTGATAGTCTTATCCACCCTCATCACCATCAACCAACCTTGCAACGCTATCAGATCGTATCTTATCATATTCATCCGGAAAGATGTCTGACAACGAACAAAGCCAACAGCCCGAACACATTAACGTTAGTCTTACCTACCTCATCTCGCCAAGCTTCTCCGATCGCTCGCATCCTCCTATAGTCTGTCTCGGCAACTGGGTTCTCTGACCTCCCCATCTGCTTCAATACGACTTTCTGTCCCCCTTGTGGGATGTTAACAGATTAAAGTCGTCGATCGCAACTCACAAGAAGTATTCTTCAAGATCAAAACGACAACTAAACTTGGCAAACTGATGGACGTCTATGCAAACCGAATCGGACATGATCCCAACACAATACGCTTTATCTTTGATGGTGTCAAGTGAGCCTTCAGAAAAAAAAGAAAGACCCACAACAATCGAATTGCTGACTGATTAACCTCTTTTTCCCCTTGTCCCCATCACTATATGTTACCTCATTATAGGGTCAAAGCTGATGTAAGCACTTTTCTCAGGAAAATATACTTCATACCTTGTCTCATTCAGGTTTAAGATTGACCCGCTCTTTTTTATCTTGTAGGATACCCCACTCGATGTGCGCTTTCGGATTTTTTCCTTCATTACCTGTTGAGATGATGGCTGACATCAGCCTTCCCATTTCTTGGATCTTTCTAGCTCGACATGAGTGACAACGACAGGATTGACGTGATGGTCGAGCAGGTCAGTCGTGTTTCAGACCTTTGCATGGCTTTTTTTGCTGCTTGTATTCTCGATTCTTTGATTTGAAAGCGCTGACTTTTTGAGTTTTAAACCTTTCAGGTTGGAGGAGCGAATCTGAAGCTTTTATGCTTGCCCGCCTCTCGTCCTTTGACACCTAGCTCACAACAAAATTATTAACCTACTGCAAAACTTACGAAGTAGGCTACGTTGGAACATCTTATCTACTCCTATTTTTTTGCAAAAAATTAACCCCAAAAAATTCGCGCCCTTGTACCCCGACCCCCCATTGGTGGAGACATTCGCCATCCGAACCACCCTTCACTCTCGCTCGGCTTATGCTCCCTGTCCTTCCCCCGTTTACTCCTATTTCTCTTCAATTTCCATTCTTTGAGATGTGCCCTTACATATATAACATGTTGTTAGCCCTTCTCGTTTTGTATCCACTGATAGATACTCTCTTGCTTTCACCTTCCGAAACAGTCGATGTCTTAATTCATTTTTGGACTTATATATCCCCACTTGACAATACCTGATCGTCAACGTTTTGTTTTGAAAGGAAGAAGACAAAGAAGAACAAGAACTGAAAGAAAACGATCCACCAGATTACTCGTTTGTAGCTCAAGACCGCTTTTCTGGAGGTTGCTCATTACTTCGACCGTTGGCTGGATAGTTTTCTTTATGACAAGTCCCATATTCTCTCAATCCACTCACCCAAAGATACAAACCCCAACATACGCCTTGAATCAATTGCCACTCCAACCACATGTTGGATATCGCTTGTCCATTTGATCGTTATCTTGATTGCCATGTCCAAATCACCTTACAATCTACGACACTGCAAGTTGGATTTCGTCAATCTGTTGTATGCATGTACAGATATGCACTGGTGGTTGTCCCTGATGCCCCTCCTCTATCTTCAATTTCAGCGTGCTATCTTCTTATCGATACGTTCAAAATCCTTAGAGAAAAACCAAATTCACGTTTTTGGATGGGTATAAGTTGGATTGAAGGGTGATAAGGCAAGAACTCACTTTGTTCCAGCCAAATGTGGATGCCAGAATGTTTTCTTCAACTTGAGTTGCTTTTGACTCACAGCATTTCGATGGATTAAGGATGCAAGTATTCCAGCCATAACTTCAACCTCCTGTTAGCACAAGAGCCATACACTATGTATGCAGTTTCATCAGCCCAACAGTGAGCAGTAGCTTACCCTGAACTCATAAGCAAATATCAAACCAATGTTGAGATCCCATTGGCGTTACCTGACTGGTTGACCAGCACTCAGGGCCATTGGCCACTAGGGTCTAAGGGCAGACTAACACTTGTGTTAGCAACAGTTGGGCCAATTACACTAAATGAATTTTTTGGAGATATGTTACAGTGGTGTCATTTTTGTAAACAGCACACATTTTCTGTGGGTCAAACAATGGAGGACTCATGTTGCCATTCACAGGGCTGTAAATGCCACTCTAAATTCCAAATCAAGGCACTTATCAACAGCCATGACCAGTGCATCTGAAAGCCACAATCACTTCCATGTCTGAGAGATCACATTTTTTCAGAAAAAATAAAAATTGATTTATAGGGTATGAATTAAGAGCTGTGACACCTGCAAATCAAAGGGCAAGTCCTCCAATGATGTTGTTGTAGTGGATGACCTCCTGTTGATTCTGGAAGGCTAAATTGTTTTTATTTCTGAAGTGACCTCACAATTATAAGTAAGCACAAGGAGGCCGATAATAAAATATTATGCTTTCTTGGAGAACTTCAGGTTTGCATTGAGGTAGTTTGACTGCAAAGAAAAGAACAGAGCTGATGGAGATTGATATTTATGCTATGTTATCATCATGTATGCATTCCTGTGGGCATTTCCAACCCTCACAGAATTTGAGTCACACCTTTAAGGACTTCATTTTTGGCAAAGAAAAAGTTTTTTTAGAACCCTTGTGATAACAGCGGCCATGTGAGCTGGTTGTGGTTTTGATCAGTGCGTTGATTTAGAACTGTTGAGAGTCTGAGTGGGCTAAAAGAATACTCTAAATTGTGATGGGAAGTGCTCCAAACAATAGTGGGCTTCATGATTGAAATCCCTAGGTTTTTTTAGAGCCAATCTCAAGGCTTTTATCACCAACATTTTTACAAAAATTCTTAGTTGATTGATCCACACAACTTTTCAATTTTTGAAAAAAAAAATGTGGATAGACGGCTTAAAATGGGCTTAATTAAAATTGGATGGGACCCCACTAATGTGACTACATTTCTGAATCTTAAATCTTTGATGGGACAACTTCTTGATGGATTGACAACCCCTGCAGAATCTTGATTTTTGGCCATTTGTTTTTTTCTTTCTGAGGCCTTGTAGGTGACGGCTCTCATGCGAGCTGCTTAATGTGGGGGCTGAATTACAATGTTGATTTATAGGACTTGGAGGGGTCCAAACTAAATGGCAATGGGAAGTCCTCCATCATTATAATTAAGCGGGGGGGTTCACGATTGAAATTTGTAAAATTTTCAAATCGATTTCAAAGTGTTCAAAATTGTGGCCAAATATGGTCTTCTTGGGATGTTTCTTTTTGAGGGAAGCTATGTCGGGAGCAGAATGTGGGAGATTGTCTCACATTGACAAGAACAGGTGTCCTTCTTATCCATCTGAAACTTGGAGTAGCCTCGAGAGTTGTGGCCGATGGAAGGATGTGCCCTAGGCCACCAGAAGGGGTGCAAGTTTTCGGGGTGACTTGTTCAAGTTTGCACCTGGATAGTGTTTGAAGAGTGTTGATGGTTGTC